TACCTTTGATCTCCAGCGTCCCTTCATCGCTACGATACCTGGATGACCCTCGTATGCAGCATCTAATACACTCTTGCAGAGTTGCTGTGGTATTACAATTTAATTTCTACGAAGTAGAATGCTATCATGGAAACACAACTCGTTTTCAAAAAATTTGTAACTCTTAATCGAATCGTCCCAGTCGTTCTGATAGACACCTTTTTTCACTTTGTAAATCTCTTGTTCTTTTTCTGAATATGCTACAATGGAACTCATTGGTATAGCAACTGGTCTAGAATTTTCCACTATTTGGTACACATGCTGGTCTTTTCCTTTTGGTGGGTTATCAGGATAGTTACATAATCGTGACAAGGGAGCAGCTATATTTGTTTTTCCTGGCTTGCATATAACCTTGAATGAATAAGACTGTAGCCTCAGTATCCATCGTTCAATCCTCGCACATGGTTTTGACTTAGACCCGAACAATATCTCTAGCGGCTCGTAGTCAGTGACTAAATCAAAAGGCTTTCCAAATAAAAATATTAAAATGTTCGACCCCCCAAACTAATGCTAGTGCCTTTTTTTCCGTTTGGCTATACCTGCGCTCTCAGTCTGTCAAAGCTCGATTACCATAGGCAATAATTCTAGGGCCATTTGTATCATTTTGTACAAGGACAGCACCAAGTCCGACAGGGCTAGCATCTGCTATCACCTGTCTTGCATCTCTGACGTCATAATACCTAAAATCTGTATTTCCGTGAACATCCGTTTGAGTTTTTGGAATGCTTTATCTTGTTCTCCAGACCATTGTTTTTCCAAGCTCTCCCTTTTGCTCATCTTCTGTCTTAACAGGTGCTTCAGAAGTTCTGTCATGGCGGCCAAGTTAGGTATCCATTTGTTTATGTAGTATGGTCTTTGGAACCCTAAAGTTCATAATGCTCTCAACGTACTTGTTGAAGGGTTTACTCCTTCATGTGTAAGCCTGTGTCCCAGAAAATTCACATCCTGCGTTTCATATATGTATTTATTGCTATTCAGCACGGCGTTGTTTTTACTAAGTATCTGTAGAACTTTCTTTAGTCATGCGTCATGTTCTTCTTCACTGTTCCCGAATACCAGGATATCATCAATAAAATTGACGACCCCTTCACAGTTTATCAGCATCCTTTCAATGATCTTCTGAAAAATCTCGGAAGCGCAGGTAATTCCAAGCATTATTCTTTTCTATCTATATAATCTTTTGGGGGTTATAAAAGTCGTTATGTGTCTGGATTCAGAGTGAATTTCCACTTGATGGAAGGCATTTTTTTATGTCTTAATTTGTTAAAATATTTAGCTTTCTTCATTTTAGGCAAAAATGGTCTATAGTAGGCAGGGGGTGGATTTCTTGCAATATAACGGCGTTCGTACATCTCATATCTACGCACAAACGTAATTCACCATTTTCTTTCATGATTGGAACATTGGTGAAACCCATTTAGACGGGCCTTGCACTTCTTCAATTATATCACTGTTTAGTGATTCCTTAATTTTGATTGCAACCTTCTCTTTAAAGGGGATCGGCTTGCTTTTACTCTCCACTTGATTTATCCTGATACCAAGTTTTAAGACACCCAGTCGGACTGCTGTGTTCTTACCTAACAGGTTTCTAGTACCCCCCGAAATCACGTAAATGGTTGTATGTTCCTTTCGTCCATCGACTTCGAGTATAGTTTCAAATGAACCCTCTATTGCCAAAGGAGAGTTACTACCATATGCTAATAATGTCTTGTCTGGTCTTTACATTTGATTAAAAGCATATACTTTTTTGCTTTTTAACTCTTCCCACGTTTAGTAAGATATAAGGTTCTTGCGCAATTTCGAATTACATTTTTCCACTATTTGATCTATGAAATGATCATCTTGCTTTTCGAATGCACACTTTTCGGCTTGTTGACGCAATCTTATCAAAAACTTCTCAAATGTCTCTCCTTTTTTCTGTTGTAGCAATCGAAAAACATGCCGCTCATAAACTTTGCTCCGTTTAGGTTGAAAATACTCGTAGAGTTTTTTTTTTATGGCTACTTAAAATACATCAACGGTTTTTTTCATCCCAGAGCCACCAAAATGCAATAGCGTAGCTCGTTTCTCGAGTGCTGATATAACTTCAGCTACGTCCAGATAGATTAGTAGAGACCTTTTCCATTTTCCACACCTTATAGCCATAGGTGTGCTATCACATTAAAGCTGATAACGGTATCATTATTATTATTATTTTAGGGGCAAACTGAAACAGTTTCTTTTTTTTTCCAATTTAATGCTGGTATTTTAATACCCAAAGTCCAATTTAATGGTGGTACCTACCTTAGTACCCAAGCTCCAATTTAATGGTGGTACCTACCTTAGTACCCAAGTTCCAATTTAATGGTGGTATCTTAGTACCCAACTCAATTTAATGATGGTATCTTAGTACCCAACTCAATTTAATGATGGTATCTTAGTACCCAACTCAATTTAATGATGGTATCTTAGTACCCAACTCAATTTAATGATGGTATCTTAGTACCCAACTCAATTTAATGATGGTATCTTAGTACCCAACTCAATTTAATGATTGGTATCTTGATACCCAAACTCAGTTTCATGATAATAATATGTTCCATAACACTCGCCCTTCTCTTTCGGTTTATTTGTTATACCGACTACTTCCATCGCTGTGCCATTTAGGCTTTGGGTAAATTCAATACCTATATTGCGCATTTACCATTATTGATAACTTAGACAGCAATACCATCGAGAAACGCCGTGATATAAGAGATCAAATGTTGTTGTACAAATTGCTTCATAATATCATCACTCTCCCCTACTTTTAGGCAAGGTGAATCTTGCGTGTCACAGGTTAGGTACACGAAATAAACCACTTTTTGCATTACCTAAAGTTAAAACAAAAAAATGCCTCAAATAATTTTGTATCTCGTACATGCAAAAGTTTAACTTAAAATATTGTAAATATTAGATATTTTTCACCTTGAATATGATAGTTACAAAGAAAATATTGTAAAACTTAATATATAATTGGTAGTATCACTTTGAGTTGTATATATAATGTTACTTTTAACTACTTACTACTTAATGTTTTAATTTATGAATACCATTTAGCTTGTTTTATTCTTTTATATTTTTAATTTTATACAACATAATATTGTGGTTTGTTTTTATTATGTATTAGATATCTGTGGAAACTTCATTGGTTTTTAGGATTACTTTTATATGTCTTATTATGTAATTTATTATTGCACTGTACGTTTCCCTTAAAAAGCAAATAAATTAATAAACAGTATTACTAGTTACCTACTTTGCAATGTACAGAAGTCGTGAAGTGTCCACGATTTTTTGTAAGACTTATATATGTCATGAAAGCAGTATAATAGTATTTTCATTAAAGGCAATAAATATCACACCTACATGTTAAATGCCACTAAAATTTAGCTAACGACATTGTATTTCGGTTCGAATCGAGAGGAGTTTTTAGTAACATCTACTATTTTTCCATCAAAAATCTTTTTATATAAAAGTTGTGCTAATAGACATATGTTAAAATAAATCATTATTTTATCATTGCTACATAAAGAAAATAAATTTTAGCACACCATAAGCGTGGTCAAATGCGAACATATATTTTATATAAATTATTAAAATGATCAGAACAGGGTTAAAAACAATAAATCATAATTCATAATCCACAGTTTTTTTTCCGCGGGTACTCTAGGAATTAATTTACAATTGCAATGCTAATAGTTGCACATTGCTAACCTATTTTTGATTATATCTTTATACTAAATAGGTACTTATCTTTTTCCTCGTCGCCACTTGTAATGTCTGCTATCTTCTCTAACCACTGTAGTGTAACACAGGCTCGGCACGCACTTTAACTAAACGACACGTCCACTCTCGCCCGAAGCTCTCGTGTAACTGACGCGGTGCGCTCGAGACAGTGACTTATATATAAATGTATGTTTGTGTATTTGTGCATGGTAAATTATTAGTAAATAAAACAAATAACAATATTTACTGTATACTACATATAAGCAAACACTACACTTATCTTTACATCATTCAAATGATGGCGATATATCGATTAATCCATATTTATCACGCGATATATATCGATTCTGTTTAAAAATAAAGTTTCGATATATATCGATATATTTTTTCCCTTTGCCCATCTCTACTGTCATTTGTATGCGGCAAATGAAGGGGAAATGGCGCCTACTAGTGAAGCCAGCACAGAGGATTTTCCCGAATTTAGAGGTAAAATAATATCACCATCGTAAGGTTCAAAAATGCTTAAGAGTTTTATTAGAGCTTTGAAAAATAAAAGAAATAATTTCCGATATAGTGAAGATGATTGCCAATCACAGCCTTAAATGCCATGTATGATATCTGGTATCCCTTAACCACATCATAGTTTCTTAAATTTAAATACAAATTAATGATAAAAATATCGCTATTGGAATAAATATTTATTTTCTGAATTAATACTATATATTAAAATAATATATGAAATAATTACAAAATAGGGAAAGTAATTAAAAAAAGTTTAAAAATATTTAAATTACATTAATTTTAAAATTTATAAATTTCACAGTATAGTTATAAAAAATATTGTTTATATTTTCGAATATTTCCCTAAGATCACATTTTATGGAAAACATTTTCAGCGTTGGCAGCACTGTCACTAACAAACAAACTCAAATGGCCTAAAGGTCTAGATGCCAGGCCATAAACTCCAAAAAAAAAAAAACTCAAACTTCACTTCTATACAGTAATCTGTGTTCACTTCAATATTAAACTTCGCGGTCGTACTCGTCTCTTGTCTCGCTTTTTGCATTCGTTCGTTTACAGTTTAGTCGAAACATATCAAGCCCCTACCCCGCCTAATGTGACTTGATATATTAATCACTGTGATTTAGTGACTTTCTGTGATATAAAATGACCTGATGGAGTATGTGTTTAGTGGTTGTTTAAGTGATCAGTGTAAAATGGGTTTAATTACTTCGAGGGAGCAGACAATGCTTGACGGACCAGCCGTGTCTACGAAGAGTCACCATGTACGGCAGCCGTCGACAAGGAACCGTACTAAGCCTCCAATGCCGGACCGAGATGAGCTGGAGAACCGTTTCATTAAAGTGCTGGTGAGTTAACATTTGCCACCGGCATTTTTGTTTACAAACACTGTAATTTTTGTTTACACTGTAACAATTACTCGCGTTTCGCTTTTCTGACAATTTTATAAAAGTATCTATTTGATGTGCAGCTCGAAAATATTTGTACTTATTAGGATATAATTTTCATAAAGTATTGCCAACTAACTACAATATTAAATAAAACATTAGTTGCAATTTTACGTTATGAATGAAGTTTTAATTGGTACTGACTTCCCTGTTTTGTTTCTTTTATTTTCTTTATCATAAATATATTTAATACTTTTTGACATATTAAATCAGCCTGTTAAACCTTTGTACAATAAGTCCACAATCAGTTGTGTCCTATTAAAGGCCAGCTAATATGGAAGATTTAAAGAAAACATAAATAGTGAGAACTTTGGTTTCATTGTGTACCCATATTGTTTAAAACCAAGCTTTGTCTTCCTCTTGGGTATGAACACAAATTCCTATCGGATCCAACATATTTGATGTGCTAGACGTTATTTTTAAAAAAAATAACTTGTTGCACCTTGTATATCAAATTTTCTAAAGGTAAAGTTACCACACAGGATACCAGATTCACTTGCTTGAAATGTTATCATCCAGAAAAATAATTGATACTATGTACTTTAATGGTATACTAAAATGAACAGAAAATACAGTAGGCAGATTATTTCAGTTCATCACAAATTTGCAAATGCTAATAGGGCTCCCAATAGATTGTTACATATCCTGAGCCATCTGCATATAGTTAGTAGTTCTGTTCACTATGGGATGCATTTTAAATATTTATTTCTGTATATATTTAAACAACCTTTACTGAAGGTAAATTTTGTCCTTGTGGTGTATAAAAACTCCTGACTTTCTTTTTATACGTATTGCAAGTTAAAAAAATATATTATGGCTATGCATAAAAGGTCCACCTTTTGTTATTCATTAATTATAATTAAAGCATGATCATAAAAGGTTTCATTAAAATAATCTTTTAAACTACTTAAAGTAAGATGCTTAATAAACACTCAAGGTCAACACTTCAATTTAATATTTTTTTGAATAATGTTAGAGTGACATATGAATTAACAATGGTCTACTCATGTAAGTGATTATTGTAGCCCATGGATACCTGTATCCACTTTAAACAAAGAGTGCCACATGAATTGTATCCTCTGTAATTTGTACCTGGCTGTTTTACCATTCAATCTCTTCACGGTGGTAGAGTCACGCAGCAGTTTTTGCTGTTGCACGTATGGGCCGGCTCAAGCCAGGTTGTTTTTTTTTTATAGGAGAGGGGGCAAACGGGCATGCGGCTCACCTGATGGTAAGTGACTAACGCCACCCATGAACAACTGCAACACCAGGGAGAGAATTGCAGATGCATTGCCGGCCTCTTAAAAAGGAGTACGCTCTTTTCTTGAAGATCCCTAAGTCGTATCGGTCCGGAAAAATCACTGATGGTAATCGATTCCACAAGGAAGTGGTGCGAGGAAGAAAACATCTTCTAAATCGCACAGTGGTGGACCGCCAATCATCCAGATGGTGTGGATGGTATCGGGAGTTCTGCCGCGATGTGCGTTCGTGAAATTTAGGGGCTGGGATTAATCCGAACAATTCCTCAGAGCACTCCCCATGGTAGATGCGAAAGAAAATGCAAAGGGATGCAACATCTCTTCGCAGTGCCAATGAATCGAGCCAATCGGAAAGGGCTCGGTCGTCGACGATTCGAGCCGCTCTGCGCTGGATGCGGTCAAGTGGAAGGAGCTGGCACTGGGGAGCCCCTGCCCAGAGATGGGAACAGTATTCCATGTGAGGCCGAACTTGCGCCTTGTAAAGTAGCAGGCGGTGTGCCGGCATGAAATACTGTCCCGCTCTGCTGAGCACGCCAAGCTTTTTAGAGGCCAATTTGGCCTTCCCTTCCAAGTGACCACGAAACTGCACGTCACTCGATATGTCGACTCCGAGGATACCGATACTGGCTGAGGCAAGAAGGGGAGTGCCTTGAAACTGAGGAGATACAACAAAGGGGTTCTTTTTAGTGGTAAATGCACAAACTTGTGTCTTCTGAGGATTAAGCTGAACTAGATTTAGTCGCCCCCAATCCGAGACTTTGTTCAGCAAAGACTCGACTTCAGACACAAGTTTGTTCCAGTACTCGGCGACGTTTTCCCGAGAAATATTGGCACGGCCGGTGTATAGAGCATCACCAGTGCTCTCATCCGCAATTTTACTTCTAGGCATAAAATGTTTGAAAAGTATTAAGAATTTTTTAAGTAATTACATTTTTTATTGCAATTTAATAAAATTAAGTTTGTTAAAGCACTTTGAAATATTCAAATTTTACTTTTTACTGGCCAAAATAATTTTTTCAATAATAGCAGCCTTAATTGCAACATAAACTGCTGAACATAGGCCTCCTGCATAGATTGCCTCAAAGGGGGATATTTGTCATAGTTGCTACACTTGGCAAGCAAGTTGGCAACTGCGGTTTTTATTTTTAGTCGTTACTAGGGAGACACTGCTACCCATTTCTTGATTTGTTTTGTTTTCCTCGAAATTGATTTATTAAATATATTTTAATTTTTAATATACCATTAGGTAAAATATTACGACTACAGCTTGCATTTTATGAAAATCACATCAATTACTTACTCTTACACTCATTCACAATGGTTATCTGGCTCCTACAAACTATCATAGTGTTCTTGTTGCACATTTCAGATTGATAAGACAACCAAATGTTTCATTTCCTGTTCATTATCTATTCATGTTATTCATGTATCAACAGTGTAGGGCAGTGTGAGTTATTTCTTAGTTGGAAATGATGACACAGGAAGCGAGTGAGCACATATCCTAACAATATTTGATTATACATATCCTCACAAATGTGTATAATGTTAGTAATAATAATTTATTGGAGGAAGGAATTGTTTTGAAATTATATATTAATGATTTTTTCAATCAAATTCTATAAATTTAAATATAAATTGAAACTCGTCATCATTGAATAAAACTATTTTTAAGAATTTTATGACATTTAATTTATATTATGCATACTATTTTACAAACCTTATAAAAACCCTGCAACAAAAAGAGCTGATGACGTTCAAACGGCTGAACAGATTTTCTTGAAACAGCTAATACATTTGATTAAGACACCTTTCAAACAAAAAAACTTAATGAACATCTGTTCAAATGTTCAGGAGCTATGATGCCAAAGACAGACACACAGATACACACTACAAACTTATAACACACCTCATGTTTTCGTCAGGGTTGTAAATAACCCCGACTAGCGACAGAAACAGGGCTTACAGATGGTGCAGCATCAAAAGTACAAGATGCCTGGTTCTGCAATTGCCTATCCACCTGCCAGGTCTGACAGTTAAGGCAATGCCACCCTGATGGAAGAGGCTTATGTCCACCTACGGTTGTTAATGACTTTATGATAATTATGTGCTAAAGATTTTTATACACATAGCTACCTCATCCAAAACTGTTAAAATCTTGATCATAAAATTCACATTACACAGAACAGGCTTCCTTTCTTTACATGTGTAATTTTGTTGTGTTATGAGAACACATTATGAAACATGAATGTGTGGTGTGGTAGTTAACATAATTATGGGAATGTACATATGAATTCTAAATGATTAATTTTTAAACATAGTTATTTTATAAATATATGACATGTTACATTGAAATCAACTGAGATATACACATTTGAGTTGCTTGCTATTGCATGTAGTGGCTTAATGTGCCAGCACTTGATAACATTGTATTCAGGCTATTTTTAAACTGGTTGCTCATTTTGTGTTCATATGGGCTTACAAAGTTTTAACTACATAAAAAAAATGTAAAGCATTTTTTGTTTAAATATATGTAATAGTATAATTTCCTATTCTTCATAGCCAAGTAATTTATAGATAAATATGTCACATGCTGCCAACATTTTTTGTTAATTTTGTCTCTTATTCCTCTCCCTATGAAAAATTAACTAGTGATAAAATTAAAATTTTGTACAACCAACTTCAATATAAATCATTTATTTGATTAGTGTTATTATGATTTTTTAAAACCGCTCTACTGATTTCGATAAAATTTAAATGGAACCTGGGCAATATAACCCTTTGAAACAAAAAAAGAATTATCCAAATCGGTTCAGGTGTCTTCGAGTAATCGGTGAACATACATAAAAAAAAAATTCCTCCTTTTTTGAAGATGGTTGAAAAATTAATAATTTAATGATAATTCAGTCTTTTAATAAATTATATTATAACTAACCCAGGAGGATTTGACGAGATGGTTTGTTCATTGTTTCAAATGTAATCATGGAATGTTCAAGATCTTTATTGTTTGTTATTCTTATAGTCTGTTGTTGTTTAATATTATGTACACATATTACTTATATAGTAAACAGATTTTCCTCAACTTGTCAGTCTATGATGTAGATTTCAGCATATTTTGTTGAATAAAATAACAGTGCTTTGAAGCCATTTTATAGTTACATTTGAATTAATATGAGTTTATGACAGTAGTTTATATCAGTATGTAGTTAATGACAGAATCATCTATGGCCCACTAACGTTTTTGCTACTCATAATATTGATTTCTTTTTCCATTCTGAATATTGATATAAATATTAACTTACTGACTTATTAATTCCATGCGTAATTAATTATTAGTTAAATGCGTGCGTGCGTGCGTGCGCGAGTGTGTAAATAAGATTTTGTCGTACGATAATTACGATATCTTTAGAACGGACCAACCGATCGAGATGGGCGACACGGCGTTCGAAAGTGTTCATTGAGACTTCGAGCTGATTAGATTTTATGATGGCCTGCAGGGTCAACCTTTTTTTCAGATATTTTTGTATTATTCTTAGTTTTAAGAATCCTTTTATTCGTCGTGGTCGTCGTCGTCGTTACCTAATTCTGGCGCTAATAGCAGTGCCTGCTACGATGTGTTCCGTTGTGAAAGTTATAGAGAGCCAG